TTTAGTTGATCAACAGCTGAGCATTCAGGGACAATTATTTATATTTTAATTTTTGGTTAAGTTTATGTATTAACTTTTATTTCCTGTTTTGTGGTAGATTCCAGTTATGATCATTTCTTTATTTGACATGCCTTGGAGTGGGAGTGGAGTTCACTATATGTTTCAATTTCTTAACTAAATATTCAATTAGTTAATATATTAATTTGGGTCATTTCTTAATTTTACCGCTGAAGTCTCAGCATTGAATGGCGATGCCAAATCTGCTAATCACTCATACACGTTGCATATCCTTACCTGTAAGTTTTATTTTTCGATAGCTAGCTCATGTCGGATTCATTCGTTAATCATTAATAAACAGATTTTCTTTTGACAATTGGATCCCTTCAAAGGAATATGAGTGCAGGTTTTTATCCAAGGTAGTTTATGTTAGTCTCTTTAAGATAATTATATTGATATGACAGGATTTCCACTGATAATTTATGTAATTCATATGATGAATTCCTGGGAAGCAGTAATGGGTATTTTTTTTGTTTCCATGACCATGAGGTATGCCGTATGTGTTTGGTAATGTGCACAATTGTGTGTAGATAGGTGGGATTCTTCCATTTTGTTTAGCGTGAAGGGTGATCGTTAGGATTTATAAAGAATTCTACCTGATGCAAGTACATTTTGGCATGTGATATTAATGAGGTTGTATCATGCCTTCACATTTTTAGTTAATTGTGTTTTTCTGATGTTACCAAATGTAATCAGATTCTTTTGCTGATCTTTTTACATTAGAAACGCTATTTCTGGATGATCCAGGTGAGTAAAGCTTTTGCTCGTATTTTGAATTTTGAGAAAAGGAATATTTGTTTACACCAGTAGTGCAAGTTCTGTTTTTCGCTCTTCAAGTTTCCCTTTTGCCTTTCTTTCTGTGCCTTCAAGTATTTGGGATAGTGCTGGCAAATTCTGTTTCAGATGTACAGATGATCCTTGTATGGCAAACATTTAAGGGTTCAGGTATATAATATTGGAGAGATGCATTAACATATGTGGTCTTTCCCCCCTTGACATTCTATTCTCAGACTCCTATGAAGCTTGTATCTGCCATGAAAGGTAGCCGTGAAAAGCAGGGAATACCACCTAAGAAGCTTCCAGTGACATGGGATATTATATCTGTCTTCCTCATCAGATGAGATACCACATTGCAGCTCCTTTCGCGTTCCCAAAATTCAGACGATCTTTGGTGTGGTTGTGTTTGCTTGAATTCCATTATCAAATAATTTAGAATCTGGAAAAAAAAACGGAGGCAGCTTTCTCTGTACTATATGGTGTAATGCAACAGAAACGTGAATAATTTGATGTTGAATTTCTGGGTGTGGTGCCCATTGGTCACAATATCCAAAAGAGACCGTTAAGTGAGGTGTATGAGAGTGTATATAAATAGAGGGGTTGTTTCTCTCAAATTCAGTAAGAAAATTAACGCGTCTTTTTACAGAAACATATAGAGTTGTAAAGGGATCCGAAAAATACTTTGCTTAGAAGGTATCACTGTGTGTGTGTATGTGTGAAAGGTTTAGGATATGGATAATACAAGAAAACAAGAGGACAAGGGAGAAAATATTTTTGAAGAGACTTTTGTTGATTGGAGAAGAAGACCATCAAACCCAATTAAACATGGTGGAATGAGAGCTGCTTCCTTTGTTCTAGGTCTCTCTCTCACTCTCTCTCTCTGAGTGTGTGCACAGAAGGGATCAGTTTGAGGATGTAAAGCTATGAGATAGTGGACTGCGATACTGGGTTCAAGTCATATGTTGCAAGTATGAAAATTATTCCGGCGGCAGATAGCGACGGCGTTTGGCAAATGGAGTGGCAGTTTGAGATGGATCCGATTGTGGGGTGGAGATTGGAAGATTTGGTGCCCAAGTAAGGAAGATGGCTGCAACTCATGGTTAAAAAGATGGAGGC